CTCTATTTGGCCGAGTTCTACTCTTTCCAGCCGCCTCCCGAAGCCTGATACAGGCCTGACACACCGGAAGCCTACAATGGCCTGGCTGCCAGGCTACAGTACTCCCAGCACCGCAGACATATCGGGGAGCCTACATATGGCTGGGTTGCCAGGCTAGAGACCATCCGGCTACAGTACTCCCAGCCAGTCCCAACACCACTGACACGCCGGGGAGCCTAAGATGGTCTGGCTGCCAGGCTACAGTACTCTGTCGGCCCGGCTCCGGACTGTCCGTCCGTCCTTCCGCCCTTTGCCCTGCCCGATGTCACACCTACTCAGTCTCCTGCTCTTCCTTCCCTGCGTTTTCTATGGATATTTCCGGGTCGTCATGATAAAATCTTTTGGTATCTGGAAAATGGCACTACTCTTCCTTCTCAGCTGTCTGGTTCCGGGATTCCTGGTCTTTATACACCCCCACCCCCTACTTACATACACAGCCTCTGTAGAAAAAAAATACGGACATACGAGTTGGTCTGTATATCGGGTTTGAAATCAAACTACAAAAAGAAAGTCTTCTATCCTTTGTGGAAAGTTTTGTCCGCTGACGTTGATTACAGATAACGTTACAGATGAAGATGGCAGGTAAACTTGCTGTACAGTCATGTACCTCATGCTGCGAGGCTGACTTTCGTTAATAAAACTGGTAAACTGTTACTGTAAACGACCGAGGAAACGTCCGTCCGGACTCTGATGCCGTATTAAGCATGACTCTGTCTGGATTTGTATAGCATTGTGACTGTGGTATTGATAGCATAATGTGCTCAGACCGCCCCTGTAAGGTTTTGTTACTTTCATCCTATCAACAGATTCTCTACCGGAACAAACTCTGGTCTGTAGACGCAACCATAAATAGCATAAAATCCTTAATATGATAATATTGTAATGTGCGCTGTTTAGAATTGTATCCTGGATAATCAGCAATCAGAGGTTTAGGTTTGACTAATTTTAGGCGATTTTATCAGGCTTCCATTTTGTGTACTGGTATCTTTTGTTGTCAGCCAAATGGTGACTTATTGGATCCTGTCTTGCCAATTTGATACAGTCTTGTAGCCACAAAAAGATCAAGATCTTATCCTTGATACGCATTACTTCAAACCCTCACATGTTGTACCATGTTTCTGTCTACTTTGTTTAGGTGGTCGGACTAAAGCGTTGGTTCTTTCCTTTTTGTTGAGTTGGAGCTGTGAAAGTTTCGCTGTTACCCTGGGTTTACAATAGAGAGTTTGCGTAAATGTTCTAAGTCTACCTCCGAGCGATTCTAAATCTAGCAACATCGCCTGAATATCACAAAAGAAGCGAGTGAAAGAATTTCTGTATCAGCAGGATAAAAATACCGACGTTTTGTAAGGTCTTTTGTAAGTATAAATACACAAACGTAAATACATGTACAAAATTAGCCCAAGCACAAAGTTAGGATTTAACTTCCATTGACACTAGCGTATCTAACAATCTTTAATGTATCTATCAGTTATTTCCCCCTAAATGTAGCTGGATTTACTTATAGGATAAACTAGTAGTAGTATACCAAATACAAAGTTAGGGCTTAACTACCATTGACACTAGTGTATCTAACAATCTTAAATGTATCTATCAGTAATTTCCGACTAAATGTAACTGGATTTAATTATAGGATCAACAATTAGTATGTTGAATAGATAGAACCAGTCAGAACTGCCCTGAGGAAGGTGACAGACGGTCACCGAAACGTCGGCTGAATAAAGGACTTGGTTGTGTAAGAGTCTTCTTTACTCTATGTTGAATAGAGAATAGTCGAAGATATACCCATACACTCACCGTGAGTCAGCAAAAAAAATAACAGACTGTTACTGCATTCATAACCACGCGATTCTATACTCTATGCAGAGGTTTTAGACCTGTTTGGGAAAAATACAAATAGAAAGTAACATTTGCAAAGTAAATGCATAATGTTTACCTTCGAAGTGCAATGTCTGCTCTGTTGATTCTTACTCAAACACATTCATATACATGTATATGCATGGTCGGAGTCAAAATCCCTCCTGCTATAAATTGCAACATGATGTAACCCAACACTAGTTACCATAGTGGTAGACGTCTGGTTCAGGTCTTTGACCTTACTTGTTTGTAGAAGAAGAAGAAGAGAAGAAGAAACTGAGCAAAAACAATACTATGCGCCAAAAAGCAGTTACTCAAAGATTTTTGGAAGTCATAATTCAGTTGCTTGAGTAACTGTTTTTCGGCGTATCTTACTACCTGGATGTCTAACCTTCACCAACAAAAACAGTATGTTTTTTTTCTACGAAGGTAAACATAACAAAACAAGAACAGGACATGGTGACTTTGTGAGGCTACAACTTAAGTAGGACTTAAGGTCCTTCAGGTGATCTTACCTGGGCTTAACGACAGGTAGGCCGCCGCCCTTAAGGCGATGTTTATAAACTTAAAGGATTAAGGAGTCTTCCCGGTATTTAAGAAGGTGTTAAGTAGGATTAAGGCGGGGTTAGTGAGAGTTTAACTCGGGATTACCCCAGACTTGAGACCAGGTGAGTGACCTGGATTGACCCCCATTAACCGCGCGCTAAGCACCCTGGGGCGACTTTTCAACGTCTCTTTTGTTTACTGACGTAACCGTTGCCATGGCAACTACGGAACCCTTCCAAAACAGGGTCAATGTCCGACGACTTTAAAAGGACTGGGGTAATACCCAAGCAGATCTTTCGGTGGCTACATACAGTAGCAAATAATTGGCAAGGCAGTATCAAATCGGCAGGGCAGTACCTCAAATACGTCACTGTTTCGCTGGTGATACAAAACGGTGGTACAAAAAAAGAAAAGAAAATAACAACGTCAAAAACAAAAAGGTAACATCGCAAAGCATATTATACACCATAACTGGCATGGCATACACGGCATAGTTCAACAAACTACTGCTTGTTTATTATTACTCAAACACAGAAAGGGCATTGTTGTTGAATTCAGGACAACGAATAGCGTGTATGTAAAATTAAGGCGAACAATTTTCCAGCAAAGTCCTCAGTTACAATTTAAGGTTAATTGAAATGGCTCTCAATGCCTCAAGGTAAAATTGAGGCTTGCAAACCCTCACGGGCTGTACCATACTACTTTTAGGAGGGGATTTTCAAGCCTGTATTGTGTATTATTATTGTGATATCACCTATCTTATAAGTTACGTAGGGTTACTGTTAACATCGCAGTTAATGTGATGTCTGAAATTGTCAGCAGCCTTAGTTTGTGAACATGTTACTTTATAAACTTCCCTTAGGTTTGGAGATTACTTGTTCTACCCCTTCAGTATTTTGTTTTAAGCAAGAACCGTGTTGTAAGAAAATATCACTCCAAAATGAGAAGAGAATGAAAATTAATTGGGTCCTGTGCGTTTATTGAGTGGTTAAAATTAAATCATTTACCAGAGAATAAATGTCACAAAAGGGGTCAAAAGTGACCCTGCTAGTATTTACTGATGTGTTTATAATGACTGCTGGGTCATACCAACTCACACATCAGCAGAGGGGTAATGGTCATCGTTGTCAAGTAATTCTTAACACTAAATGTTCCTCTTTTCAGTCTATCTTAGTTAAAACTAAGCAGATCTGTATATTTCTTGTCCGATTTTATGGTTATGGCTACTTTCTTTTACATCTTTTCAGTGTTTCTTTTCTCACTTGTTCCCTCACTGTGAATAAGGAAATGTGCTCCTAAGAGATCTCATTTGAGCAGGTTACCCAGTGCTTAAGTCAACACAAGCAAGATAAATGCCTCAAAACTCATTGTCGGCATCAAATTATTGGGCTAACCTGAACAAAACATGCCCCAAACCGAGCCTTTACTGACGAATGATCAGCCACACTAGTTCGGAGCAAAAAACCATGGGCTCTGCACCGTCAAGTTTGAAGAGAGAAGTTCATGAAGAACTGTCCTGCAGCATCTGCCTGGAGCTGTTCACCAGGCCCAAGGTGCTGCCCTGTCAGCACACCTTCTGTCAGGACTGTCTACAGAACCATGCAGGTAGGGGAGGGACCTTCCAGTGCCCAAACTGTCGGCTAGAGGTCAGGCGTCCACCCCAGGGGGTCGCAGGTTTGCCAGACAATCTTATAGTGGCTAACATGTGTGAGAAAGTCAGGAAGCAAGAAACCCTGCTAGAGGAAACAGAGAAGCAACCCCAGTCTGGAAACAGGTGCAGTTTTCACCCCTCAGAGGAAGTCAAGCTCTACTGTAAACAGTGTAACTTGCCAGTTTGTAGTGAGTGTTGTGAAGAAAGCCATGATGGACATCCTACCACAGGCCTTAAAAAAGCTGCACAGGAAAACAGACCTACAGTCCAGGCCTTGATCCATGAGGGGAGGAACATTTTGGAAAGTTACTGTGGCTTCGTCAGAGATTTGGGGGGAAAAGAGAAAACCCTGAATGAAAAGAAACAGCAGACAGACAACGCTATCACTCAGGCTTACAACGAACTCTTGGCAAAAGTGGAGCAAAATCACCTGGAAAACTTGGAGAAAATACAGACTGAAAGGGACCGAGTGTTGGCAGATGTCAATGAACTGTCTGCTGCCTGTGATCGAGCAGAACAAGAACTGCAGCAGGGAGGGGTTGAGTTTCTCAGTCAGCAAACCGCTCTGACAGAGGTGGTAGGAAAGTACAGAGGAAAAGCAGCACCAACTCCTGTACAAACCCAGCCTGCTGTCTTTCAGCCCACAGACACCCCCGTGCCAGTATTGGGACATGTGACGGTCCAGTCTCTCCCATCTGCACCTATCCCAGCAGCACCTGCAGCAAGGGGCACAGGTCATCACCATGGTAACCAAGAGCAAGAAGAGCATCAGCCTCAGAAGATGACATTTGGTGGATGGGGATCAGGAAAAGGACAGTTCAAGGATCCAATTGGTGTTACAGTGTCAGATGAATGGGAGGTCTTTGTAGCAGACAGGGGGAACCAGAGAATCCAAGTCTTCACCCTGCAGGGAACGTTTGTCCGACAGTTCCCAGCAGTCATGTCAGGTGAACAGAGGATGAGCCCACATGATTTGGCCATGGACGGGGAGGGGAACCTGTGGGTGGTGGGGTACACATACTCTGCTAGCTTTGCTGTGCAGTACAACAAACAGGGCAGCGTGCTGAGCAAGTTTGACCTACAGAAGACAAGGCTGGGCAGAGGAGTTGCCGTGGACACCAGGAGGAACCACATCCTCATCACACAAACCACAGGAGACGGGGACAACAAACATGGTGAAGTTTTGGTGTTCAGGCCAGATGGAACACTTGTGAGAACTGTGGGTCAGCAGCAGGGGATGAAGCACCCACGGTACATCACTGTGGACGGGGGAGGGAACATTCTTGTGTCAGATGGTAGTAATAACTGTGTCTTTGTATACAACGATGACGGACAGTTTCTGTTCAAATTTGGAGGCTGGGGAAGTGGTGAAGGCCAGCTGAAGAAACCCTGTGGCATCTGTACAGACAGGGCAGGTAACGTCATCGTGGCAGACTGGGGAAACAAACGTGTGGAGATGTTTGACAAGACAGGACAATTCCTCAAACACATCATTCGTGTGACAGGCACTGGGGCACCTTGTGCTGTTGCCATGGCAACACAGGGACAGCTGGTAGTGACTGATTGGAACAAAACAGTCTCCATATTTCACAACTACTGAAGCTGCATGTTAATACTAGAACACCACAATATAACTGTCATGTGTAAAATAAACAAACAATACTGTAACATAACAATCCCGCACCTGTATGTATATGTATATGTACATGTACATGAATGTATTTAAAAAACATCACAACTTGAAATGAATAACTTCCTCTGCAGGAATTTGAGAGATAGGGAGGAACCATTTAAACCCGTTCACATGATACTGAAAACAAAAATCTCATGACTACAATGTAAGTGGGGTTGATCTACATGTATACAACAATCCATCTGTCCAGTGTAAGAATATGTTTAAAAAATATCTTAGACAATTTTGCACAGAAATGTTCAGAAATAGTTAGTTATTGAGAAAGAAAATTAATCCCAAATTGCTTTCTTTATTTGGTTTTTTAAAACAAGTTGGCACAGAAAAGGACAATTTTGTGAAGGAATTATCTGATCAATGATAAAGAACTTGGAAAAAAAGTGATGCAAAAAAATGGCTCACAAGAACGATGTATTTGAGTGACAGCATTTATTTTTGCACTGTAATTATATTGTGAGAATAATACGAGACTCTGTCATTCTTTGGAATAATTGTTCCTTTTCCATTCAAATAAATGAATGAATGAATGAAAGACCTTTATTGTACGTTTTTGCTCTAAAACAGGATATGAATACTAACATCTTGGAGTTTTGGGGTGATAAACTTTGAAACTTTATTTGTGATTTTTGGTTGGTTTTGTTCATGTGCTAAAAATAGAAGAAAGATAACAAAATTTGGTACCATTTGCCTTACCCTTACCCTTGTCATCATGACCTCCATGAATAAACAAAAACTTAAACAAACTTAAGAGTATGAACAACTCCAAACTCTTACCAACCGGCCCCTTCTTGAAATAATTGTTATAGTATCATGAACTGACATCATAAGTAGGAATTCATATCTAAGATTAGCATAGAACTAGAAAGGTAACATTTACAAAGCAAATGCATTATGTTTCCCTTCATATGACCCAGCTCAACAAACTACTGCTTTGTTTATTCTTACAGTCTCAAAAACATTCATATATATGGTCACATGGGTTCAACCGTAAACTTTGTTTTTAAGTCTAAGGACAACAAACATCTGTCCTAACTGGCTGTACAGTAACGCAAAACATTTAATAAGTGGCTCCCTTGAGCCTTGTTTGGTGGTGAACTCTTACGTAAAAAGAAAAATGTAGCACCTTTTTCACTGAGTTCTGCATTGCAACTGCAACATTATGTGGAAAAAGCCGAAAAAACAATGTTTTCCTTCTGCGAAGTTAAACATAATAAGCCGAACCCTACACCTCTGCTTGGCGTGTTTAAGAGATAACAGTTACCTAGAATCGGCTTGTTAAGTTGTTGTCACTTGTTGTCGCTGCCAGTTTTGCCCTCGGGGTTTGCGAAGTTGATCTGTTTTCATGTTTACGGTTTTTCCGAACTCGTAAACAAACCAAAACACGCACAAAAACATCGTCCGTAAGCCCGGTAGATTACCCGTCATGCTCCAGTGACCTCTGTGAGCATTCATGAAGGTCAGGAGGTTCTAAAGTTCTATCGAACATTTCCCTGCCATTGTCAAGTTTGTCCTTCAAACGGGGAAGCTTAGGGAAGGTCACACTGAATCTTTTCAGTCACATCTAATTGTTGGTGTGTTACGCTGAAGGGAGGTTATACATGCTTAGCCTCCACCAGGCCTTCCTACCGGGGCACGGATCCTAGAATTCGGTAAAAAAAGGGAAATAGTTGGCCAGGAGAGTCAGTCCGCGAGAGGGTTAATTTCCCTCTAACAGCGCGGGCAAATGAACTCTACACTGGCTAACTGCCTAAATATATGGCAAGTAAATTATTCTCCATATTGGCTAAATTTTATCTTATTTTTGAACCCGCTTTGTGTTGTTAGTCTGGTGTACACTAATACCGGCTATACAGATACAGATAATTGCGGCTTCCGATGTCGCGTTAGGCCAGGATGTTTTTCAGCAGCGACAAATGGCCCTAAACCCGAGATGAGCCTGTAGGGATCTTCTGGTCTTTACGGGAAGTCTTTAAGCTGTAAGGTTGGACTGTTGGGCAGGGACAAGGGAACACAGTGGTTCTTAGGTTGCCATCGAAGAACTCAAGTTTTGTTTGGGCTTTTCTGTGTGTGTGTGTGCGTGTGTGTATGCGTGTATGTGTGTCTGTCTTTGTGTGGTGTGCGTGTGAGTCTCTCTGTATGTGTGTGTGTGTGTGTGTGTGTGTGTGTGTGTGACAGAGCCCTACCCCGTTCTCCGTTGGCCGGATGCCCGAGGTTTGTTCCCGCGCGGCTATTTTTGGCGCGAAATTATCTTCATCTGCGATAAGTCGGCAGAACAAAGGCGTTACCTGTCCGCCCTCGGGCAACTGTCGGCAGGTTCAAACAGCACGGGGAAGGTGATATGGGCCACGCTATACGCTCAAACACTCCCACTGATATATGGAAACGCTGGAAACACAGACATACGGTCGGACAGACGAACAACCCTCGGGCATCCGGCCAACGGGGAACGGCGTAGGGCTCTGTCAATAACAAGACGCTAGGAGTATCACAACAGCTGTAGTACCATAACAAACCGCTAGCGGCATAGGATCTGTCAAGGTCTTTTATGGCGTGTTTTTATTACAATAATGTTATCACAACATCAAGTTCCGCTGCAGTACCGTAAAAGTCGCCGGGGGCCCAAAACCTAATCGTGGAGAAATTGACTGATCCTTTCGTTGTTTCCGCAGGTCCAGGCCCGGGTGTACAGAAGACGGAATGAGAAACGCGGGTTTTGGGAAGGTGAGTTATTTTTTTTAATCAAAGCACATAAAAGAAAACAAAAGACTGCGATGACAAGGCACTCAAGTTATTTATGATTATATAAGCGCCGCCATAGAACATAAAATAATTAGCACATGATATAATACTTATTTTATTTTATTTTATTGAAATTGCAACAATACAATACACACAGAACAGAGGCAGCTGTTGCTGGTGTTGTGTCCCACAGATAGAAACGAATACAGGACAGACGTCGACGATACTCATGTTCACTTGAGTCTAGTGGGGAAAGTCGTGTACCTCTTGATTCCGAGTCGCGCACGCTGCCGTTGCGCCACACGAATATGACATAATACTACATGAAAGTTACACAAAAAAAACGCAAGTAAATACATGTAATACAAATCAGACAAAATTGGGGGACAAATGTAAATATAACTGATTTTGCTGCAGTGGAAGGCAGCAGACGGCATCACTTACAGAAGCGGGAAGAGGAACAAGAAGAACAAGGCCACTTAACGGGTAAGTCTGTCATCTAACGTTCTATATGTTTTATAGGAGGAGACCATATATATGAATGTGTTTGAGTAAGAATCAACAGAGCAGACCATATGCGAAGGTAAACATTATGCATTTGCTTTGCAAACATTACCTTTCTGATGTTTTATTATCTTCGCACCAAAGTGTTGTCGGCTTGGTTATCATGGTGACGTGTTGTCGGCTTGGTTACCATGGTGACGTGTTGTCGGCTTGGTTACCATGGTGACGTGTTGTCGGCTTGGTTACCATGGTGACGTGTTGTCAGCTTGGTTACCATGGTGACGTGTTGTCGGCTTGGTTACCATGGTGACGTGTTGGCGTGGTTACCATGGAGACGTGTTGGCGTGGTTACCATGGTGACGTGACTTGTTTCTCCCCAGAATGCCCTGAGAGCATGGAGGGGTTCTGTCTGAACGGCGGGGTTTGCAGCTACGCCCCGGAAATGGCGAGCACCGCGGGGAGGTTGAAATGCGAGTGAGTTTGTTTTACTGTCACGAACGTTTATTTATGTTGGTAGAAGTCATTATGAAACAAGTTTGAACTACATGTAAACACAACACAAAAAAATCGGACTCAAATTTTCGACTGTACAACTCCAGAATTTGTCAATGAATGAGCAGTCCTCAACAGAGACGGGGGGCGCTACAGACTTTCTGCAACCTATGATCCACTGCTCACGGAGTCACGTGTTATCTGCATGACGTCACGAAAGCTTTTTAAACCTTTGTATGTATGTAAGTGAAACGTATTTTAGCCAGAAGACTGCAATATTATACAGAAATTAACCATTCATTCGTTCATGATTTTTAACCCCAAAATGCCCTCTTTGTCTCCGTGCAGATGCCCTTTGACCCACTTCGGACAGCGATGCCAGAACTCCCAACCGTGAGTCAGACATTCCCGTATTTCAATCTATCACGTGCTAACGTAAACAATAGCCTGGGTTGTAACACTCGTCTGCTTGGAGAGTACAGTGTGATAATCCTGTTCTAAGTCTTCTCTAAGTTTTGGCGAACATTTCCGCGCGCCGCCTGTCGGTGCTGTTAGATACTGCAGGTGTGATATGCTGTTCCTCTGCCTATCCGCCTGTAGGGTAGAGGAGGACCTGTTCACTGACCTCAGACGGCTGTTCGGCAGCTGGAGCCAATCAGAAACCTTCTACAGACGCAAGAAGTGGAGACGGCCATGACGGTAAGGGTTCCCAAGGTCAAGGTCATTTGGTACAGAGAATATTTAGTTGTACTATGATGGGTTGACTGAAACTTACCCTTAATACACTGGTGACCTTGAATCAACATTGAAAACTGGGTATAGCTCGTCTGTTGACCTTGAAACCGTTGACCTTGAAGGAACAGTTAAACACTGATGACCTTGAAATGCTATGTGTGACGGAGCACATGTAATGGCTTTGGGTAGGCCCAATGAGGGGAGCGTGGGGCCCGGAATCAGGCAGTTGGGCCCAAGCATTAAACGTTCAACTCGCTCAACTCGGCTCATTGTCTGACACTATGGAACGTTCGAAGGAGCTGTTCTGTTGACTTTGAGATTGTTGACCTTAAAGATCAGTTAAACACTGATGACCTTGAAATGACATTGAACGTTTGATGCAGCTGTTCTGTTAACCTTCAGACTGTTGACCTTGAAAGAATAGTTGAACACTGACGACT